TGACGCTTTTGCTATTAAACAAAATAAAAAAAAGAGCGGAAAGAAACTAAGAAAGATAGTTTGATAAGGGACATTTAAAGGAATTTATTCATTTTTATCTAAAAATTTAAGAGGATCCAAAAATTTTAAATTTTCAAAAATATAATTTTTCGACCCTATAAGTTATATATGTATACATATATTCTGGATCCATATAGTCAATTAAGCCATGTCCGTCCGTCTGTCTCTCTGTCTGTCTGTCCGTCTGTCTGTCTGTCTGTCCGTCAGTCTGTTGAAATCAATTTTCTGAAGAGCCCATATATCTTCGGCATCCAAATCTTAAATATATATATTCTTCTGAGAAATTTCCTAAAATTCGTCCATAAATAATGGTGATATGAGCAAAAATTCGAGAAAATCTCTGAAAATTTCATCAGAAAAAGACAATTTCTTGCATGCTTTGGCAGAAAAGCAACATCATCATTGCTTATTGGAACAAACGTATTGTTTGGATGAAAAACGGTTTTGATATTTTAGAAATCTGACAGTGGCAAAGAAATTGCTCCAGAGATTCAATGTCCTCTTCAATTTAGAGCATGTCTTCATTCGTCTGAATCCGCACGTCCAATCAATAGATGTGCTCGTAATTCTGTGTGTCCACTCAGAATACGTACCATCTTACTAACCTCAGACTCATTTTAAGGTGATTTCTCGTGTTGCTCTCATTAGGGTCACCCCATAGGATCTTTGTAGTTTTATCCATTGTTTCATTATTCCAAGAGGCCTTACTATCTTACTAACATCAGACACATTTTGAGGTGATTTCACGTCTTGCTCTCATTATGGTCACCCCATAGGATATTTGTGTTTTTATCCATTGATTCATTATTCCAAGAGGACTTATGGGATTCTCTTATCCATATTTTTAATTCAGCTTTTGTTTTCTCGAAAGGTTTAGCGTTCGTCAGGTTAACTACCTCGAGTTCCCTTCCCTTTAAAACTATTACAGTAGCCCTTTCGTTGACGACACGTCCTGAGTGGCGTGGTATCCTATATGATGTAAACCTTACCTCTGGCAGAATATTCAGTTAAAGTTTTCTTACAATCGAATAGAGTAGATTTAATTCTATCACCTGATATCATTTATCAGTAAATGCGAACCGATTCCGAAATTTGAAAATTTCAACTTAATGACTCCAGATCATTCATTTCGACCACTGAGAAGTGGTGACTGTCAACTGCGTCTACTAAAAATTTTCACCATAAATCGATTTTTTTAAATAATTTAATTTTTTTAATGTTTAATTTTTTCTGAAAATAAACTTTAAACCTGCTTTCTTTAAAAATAATTATAAAGACTTAAATGAAAATATGTTCTCAAGTTCTCAAGAAATATTTGATTTATCAATGTTAGAAACTTAAATTTCTTTAAAACATTAAACAATTTCATTCTAGTCCTTTTGCCTTCCTATAATTTCATTTGGCTTTCTAAAATATGTACTTTAACTTTTTTTACTTTTTTTTTGTATATAAGTTAATTAACTTCTTTTCCATAATAATCTCTATTAGTGAAGTATTTTATTTTTATCATGATATTGTGTAATATTTTATATTAAGTTCAACCAACTGTAAATTTCTTTTAAATTTCTAATTTAATCTTATTAAAGGCTTGTTTAAGTCAAATTATATTTTTCTCCCCATAGACATATTTAACGCAGTGATAATTGAATTAAAAACATAAAATTGTTAGGGTAATTTGAACAAATTATTAATTTGTAATTATTGAATTGAAATAAACAGTAATTAATAACTTAGAAAAAACAAACCATTAGACACACACACACACGTAGAATATAAGGTTTTTAACAAACTTCACAAATTGGTTTTCTAAAGTAGACTTTGTTGTATGGAGGCTAGGAGTCAAGTGAGGTCTGATCACAACGATATCATACGACTCATTTATGACGATTATTGTAGATATACTAACATAATGAACATACTTATTTAGGGGCTCCAAAGCCCTATCTGGGGGTATTTTGTACGCTTTTATACGTATTTTAATACATTGATTTCTATTTAGCCATTAAATAAATTAAATAAAATTTAAACAAATTTATTGTACTAAGGCTTAGTCCTTGAAAAGTATTGTTATATAAAAACTAAAGAATTAACAAAATTAATATAGCTCCTTCTTATAGGTCTATTATAAAATATTTTAAAATTTATTTATTTAACTCCTTTTAAACTCTGGCCTATGAGTCTCATGCATGTGTCGTTTTTTTTTTTTCTTCTATTTTATGTTGTTTTTTGTTTGGTGCTATTGTTATTGTTATTATTGCATTATTTCACTTCTATTATGCCCAGCAGTTTCTGTGAAGTAGATGTCTTCCTTTTTGTTTTTTATTCATTTCTTTTATAAGTCTTTCACTAATTTAACATTTGTTCTTTGTAATGCAGGGTGTAAACAATCTAAGTTACGCAGATAGACGAACCATTTTTTAATTAATCTGTTTAAGACTCATTTACTGTAGTTGCAGCTTTTGAAGGATTAGTTTCCCGGAACATAAGTGTTGTAAAATCGCTCCTGCTGGTCAGTTGCCCCAAACTGCAGGTTATATTCATATATAAATACGTTATTTTTATAAATTTATTCTTGCAGTGTTTTCTGTTGTTATTTTTTTCTATATGTATTTTCTCGAATATACATACATATTTTATAAACGTTTACTGTCTTAGTCGTTTATTTCTTTATTTATACTTTTTTGTTCTCTTCTTTCGTTTAATTTTCGATGGCATTATACAATATAAAAAAGTAACAATGAGCCAATTTGATATCAACATATACAAATATACATGCTATAAAGATTAGGGTGGACCCAAAATGCATGTTGCTGATGTTACCACCGAAATGAAAATTTTGTTCATTTTACGATACCATTTTTGAATTGTGTTGTCCTTACGACAATACTTGTTTTGTTGAGCTTGATCAAAGGATAAAATGCTCCTTTTTGAGGTTTAAGTATATGATATTTTTCACATTTCTTACAATGAATATATACTGAATTTTGCCACCTTGATATCAAAATTTCATATCATTCCTTTGAGTGAAACTTGAAGAAAATTGGAAAATCCCAAAAAAGGATATTTTTATTCTTTGGCCAAAACCCAGGACAAAAAGTTTGAGAAATTCTATCTTAGAATGAACTTGAGTTTTATTTTCGGTGGAAACATCAATAACTTATTTTTCCTCCACTCAAACAGGCCGACCCTAATGTACATACATGTATGCATAAATTTGTGCATGTTGTTAAAATATTTTATATATTTATAGCAAAAAAAGAAGAAGTACATACTTTCAAAGAAAATTTCAAATTACCCAACAGATCGTCGAATTAGCACCACGATCTGATGACTTCAGAAAAACGCTATTAAAATCAGGATATATTTATTTTAATTTGAATTCTCACTCAAAGTCTTACTGTAAAGCAGTTATAAACAGAACAATTTTACATCTCAAAGTTACATCACGTAAAGACACTATATCGCTGTTTCTGAAGTTTTAAGGTGTTCGTCATCATGCTTTAAATAAGTTTAAGTTAATCCGACAAATAAAAGAACTACAGCGTTTGTGCTGATGTTTGTATCGCCCAGAATTATGCCAATCGACTCCGAATCACTTTCTTTTCTGAAACAAATAATTAAGCTATGTCCGTCTGTCTGCCCGTCTGTCTGTCTGCCTGTATGTCCATGTAAATTTTTGCGATGAAATTTGGCACATACTCTTCTTTTGATTTAAGGTCGAACGCTATTAAAAATGGTTGAAATCGGTCTATTATTTCGTCTAGCCCTCATGCAACCGTACCTCCGGAATAGGACATTAATCGGCAAATCTTGGTTTTTTATAAGTTTAAATGATACTGTCGATTTTCGTAATGAACGGGCCTCATTTGACTCCAACTCCCATACAAAGTCGCCTTCAGAAAATTACTTGAAGGTGAAAATTCACCTTTAAACACTAGTATCGTGATGAAATTCTGCATAAATAACTATACCCGACTATATAGTCTTGCTTGTTTTGAAATAAGTTTAACTTCAACATGTCATCAATACTACAGGGATTTTACTTATATATAAATAGAAACATACGATATATGTATGTATATAACAGATATTATGTATATACATAGACATTTTTCACTTTGACTTTTGTTGTTTTTGTTGTTTCTTTATTATAAGTAGTTATCATTATTTGGGTTATTATAGTCATTATTATTGTATACTTGAAAGTGATTTTTCTAGCTTATTATGCATGTATGTGTTTTATAAATACACTACATGCTTGTATATAAGTATAAAGTGTTGAATTTTATTAGTATAATTATTAGATGAAATTATGTATTTATAGAAATTTAATATGGTGTAATTTTATTTAGATATAGAAGACACAATATATAATGCGCCTTAAAATAGACTTTAATATGGTTTATAATGAAAATTAAATTTTATTAAGTAGGCCATATATAATGAACTAGTTAAATTTTGATTAAGAATATAAAAAACAAATTTTATGAAACCTTTAAGAGTATATTAATAAAATTATATTTATTTAAAATATAATGAGGAGTTCATTCCAGAGTTTTGAAAGTTCATAGCAGTAGTACTTTCTGCATCGAATCAATATCCGTCTCTTTGCCCATATAAATCTATTATTGAAGTTCTTTAAACATACATGACATTACTTAAATCCTATCTTATCCGATTATCTATATAATTACAAGAATTGTAACTTTGAACTTTGCAGCATACTTTAGGGCAGTATATAAATACAAAATTTAAAGTCTATTTTAAGGTAAATCTAAAAATATGATATTTTTAAATTTTTGTTGTATACTTTAAGGCAAATCTAAGTTTTCTTTACATTTGACTAACTATTTCTACATATTACTTCCTTTTACTTTCAAAATTTTAATATAAAGTTTTTGCTATAATATTCTCTTTCTACTTTTGCTTTATATTTTCAGAATTTTTTGGAGCATGAACAATTGTTGGAATTGAATGAACTATATGTGCAAATTCAACAGAAGTCATAAAGAATAAAAAACTTTAATAAAAAAAGGGGAATTGCTAGTAAAAAAGGTTTAAAAAAAGACTAAAACTTAAACCTACAAAAAGAAAATTCATAAAAATATTCAATATTTCAAAAGGATTTGAAACCACAACAATAAAAATACATATAAAACCAGAATAACAAAAAATAAAAAGAAAACCTAGTAATAAAATTGACAAAATAAATAATAATAAAATAAAGAGAATAACAATAGACTGAATTAGAGTCCAAATATTTATAAATAAAAACAAAATTATAAAAACCAAACCAAATATTAAAACAAACGAAGGAAATTCTCAATTTAAAAATTATTTAAATAGAAAATTTTTAATAATAAATGCAATTAATTTAAACATATCATAAATTAATAAACATAATAATATAGAATTTAAATAATATTTAAACAACAAAGAAATATAAATAATATACATTGCATTTAAATTAAAAGCAATACCAATAGAAATTCAAATAAAATAATAATAAAATATTCCATTATTCAACAATTCTTGTATGAAATTTACAAAAATAAATTATTAACAAAACTGCCCTTTTAAACAAGAAAAAAGTGAAAAATTTAATTAAAACAAAAAATATATTTACTTCTGTAAACCAACATTGCCACATATTTCTGGGACAGACAGACACATACATAATATACAAAGACAAACAACATATTAATTTATTAAATACTAACAACGAACAGTTAATTAATAAAAACTATAAACATACTATTATTACAATTTTGGTTTTTTTTGATACCCTTAATTAAAAATAAATAATTAATTATTAAACAAATTTAGCAGAAAGAACAAACAAAAACCAATTGACAAAATTTTGTCATAAATTAAATATTTAAACACTTGGAGAAGTGTTAATAGTACACAATAAACAATACATAAACCAAACAAAAAAAGTGAACATAATAGATTCATTTGTTATTAAACAATAACAATTTCATACTAAAACTAAAAGAAAAAAAAAACTAAAACATCAAATTCATTGTCATGCAAAAAATCACATGTAAAAAAGAATGAAATTCTAGGAGAAAAAATCATAAACATTGAGAGTGAGAAAGCAAAAAAAAAAAAAAACAATTAAAAACCGGAAATAAAAACAATTTCAATTCATAACACATACACAGAAAATTCAAAAAAAAAAAAACAACATTCTATACAAATACTTTATCAAAGACAAACAAGTGTTTGTTTTAGTGAGCGTTTAAATATTAAACAATAGAAAAAATTTAAAAAAAAACTATTAAAAATTTTAAGTGTTTAATTATACATCAATTGAAAAATCTTAAATTCATCATTTTACAAACAACGTTTAACAAAGCTAATATTTATTTAAGGTAAGTGAATTTTTATTTATTTTATAAATCAATTGTTTATTTTAAATTACATTGAAAACATATGTTTTTTTTCGTTGAAGAAATTTTAATGTAAACAAGCGGCCTTGTTTGATTTATTTTCATATTTATATTGATATACAAAGTGTGCTTGGCTGCACTGATATAGATTTCTAAATTCTTGTTGAATTTTCATATTTAGCCTATAAGTCCTAAACAGTTTTGCATACGTTGGAATAAATTATCCCGGTCTTGGAAACCAAATTTAGGGATTCACATGTTTTATTTTTTATGACTTATCAATATGCTCTTTATTTCGAACAAAAAACGGAAACATGATCGTTATAATAAAAAAAACGCCTATCGTAAAAAATGCAATACAAAATATGTTGAAACTTTATTTTAAATATTTTACTGCATTTTTTACGATTCTCTACAAAACAATTTAATCACTAAAACTTTATTAAAATACTCTTTTATTTTTTATTTTTTTGTTTTCTCAAAAATTTTATTTACATTATTTACGACATTTTAATTAAATAAATTTTTCTGCAAGCGCACATGTTCAAGAATTTCTATAACATTTCCATGTACAAATGTAAATCAACTGTTTTAAATACACATCAAATATTAAATAAACTGAAACGTTTTACAATAATAAAAAAAAAAAACAAGAGACATATAAACACAAAAACATTCCCTTAGGATAAATAAAAACAAAGAAAAATATGTTCTACAACATTATAGCAATAAACAAAAATTTTCTAAAGAAAACAAATCAAAATTCCTCTAAAATAAACTTGAATAACATTTGAATGATGCTGATCTATCTGGCTGCCACCGATGTTGCTGCATCTTTACGGCAAAACATATTTCACATACATACATAAGAGTAATAAAACTGACTGTTAAACATTAGAAGGCAGTGAAGGGTATATTCTAAAAATTTCCATACAAGTGTTTAGACTACACTTTCACGCTTAAAATACAAGAATATATGCAATTATGTTATATAAATATCGTGGCCCTCACTGTTGTAAATACAAAATATGTAATACAAGTAAACACACAGCTTTACATATTTCTCTTATATGGCAGCAACATTAATACACAAATATGCAACATTGAAAACATGTACATATGTATGTCTAAGTTGATTTTAGTACTTTGTTTGTTGTGCTAAAAATAACAAATCACAACAATATCAAATCAACCACTCGCGCTATTGTAGCGGGAACATACGACATGTCTCAACAAAACCAAAACACAAACAACAACAACAATGACATCCAACAACTTCCTTTTCCTCCAATTCAAACATGTCATTCTTTCACTCTTTTGCTCTTAGAAAAAGTTTTTTTTTCTTGTTTATTGAATGATAAGTGTTTCAATGACGATGATGACTAAAATGTTTTTGTATGAACACAAATATTATATATTAGGGTGGCATAAAATTGTTTTTCAAAATTTGTTAATTGTGCTGCTTATATTTAGAATATATTAGTGCTCTCTACGTTCCTCAATTGTCCCCTAACTCGTTCCAATGGGAAGATAATTATTTCAAAAGTTGTCTGCATGTGCAGAAGACTAGACTAGAAGACTTAGACTAGCTTATATTTACAATACATTAGATCTCTCTACGTCCCTTAATTGTGATTATAGACCAGATTATAGTCCAGGCTGAAGACTAAACTGTATTTAATGCCTAGACTGGCCTATAGTCCAGACTATAGACTAGACTATAGTCTTGACTACATATTAGACTACAGTCCAGAATATAGGCCAGTTTATAATCAGAGTATAGACTAGACTCTAATCTAGGATTGTCCAGACTATAGCATAAACTTTAGTCCAGATTATACATACATACATTGGATTATACTATATATATATATATATATATATATATATATATATATATATATATATATATATATATATATATATATATATATATATATATATATATAATCATTATAGTACATACCATAGAATAAACTGTAGATTAGATTATAGACTAGACAGTTCTATAAGTGCAAACTATAGAATATATGTACTATAGTCCAAGCTATAGAGTATACCATAGTCCATATTATAGTATTGCCCAGATTACCGAATAGACTGTTTTCCAGAATATAGTTCATACTATATAATAGATTATAAACCAGACTATAGACTAGCCCATATTCCATACAAGTCAAATAGAATATACTACTTATAGTCCAAGCTATAGAGTATACCATAGTCCATACTATACTATAGCCCAGCTTACCGAATAGACTGTGGTCAAAACTATAGTTCATAATCCAGACTGTAGTCCAGCCCATATTTCAGGTAATAGGTTTGTACTTTAGTCCACACTGTAGACTAGAATAAAGACCAGACTAAATACTCTACTTTAGACTGTATAATCTATTCTAGACTATATACTAGAATATAGTCCACTGTATAGTACAGCCTGTACTACACTGTACTACATACTACACTAAAGTCGAGAGTAGTAATCATTCTACAAACGGCACCAGTCTAAAATAATATGTGCATAAAAATGTGTTTAACATGAGAAAAAATTAGCGAAAATTTTTTCTTTATATTTTTCTAAAAAAAATTCTAAAATGACGCCATTGTTAGACTGGATGCCCTGAGCAACAAAATTACATAGACAAAGATTAGACACTGACATTAAATTTTTATTGGAAAATTACTCAGCGTGAAAACCAAACAATAATAATAAAATGTTTCAACACCACATTTATAAATGTGCTAAGTAGTTTTTAGCTTGTGGACTATTACAGTGGATAGTGGATAAATTGAATTTCTAAATGAAGATAAAGAAATGGAAATTCATAGTTCCATATGTTACATTTCAGTAGAAGATTTAATCCCTTTTGATAGCCTTTAAATACTCAAAACTACCGAGTTAAATTTTAACATAATTTTATTTTCATTCCCAATTTATACTTAATAAATCATTTCTAACTTCTCTGCCTAAAAAAACTGTCACACTGAAATTTTTAATCCAAATAGATTCAGATGTCACAAAAACCGCTTAAAATCACAAATATTTATAAAATAAATTATCGAAAATATTTAATTTATTTAATAGCTGCAGACATATAATTAATCTTAAATTAGCTGACATAAATTTAAAATGACATTTCCAAAAGTTAACATTAAAATGACAACTCTTTTATTGTCAACTGCAACACCATTTGAATACTTTTCTAGGAAAAGTATTCCCCCTCAAAAAAATAAACTAATTTCAAATTTTCGTCTATTACATGCATAATATCCTCTATTATTTTATTGAATTTTTGTTGTTGCTGTAGCTGCTGTTGTTTATATTTAGTTATAAAAATAACAACAACAACAGAACACACAAAAATAAATATATTATTTTTAGAATGTTCATCCTCTAAATATTCAATTTCCGAAAAATAAATATTCGTTCAATCGAAGGTGTGTTCACAAGTGTTTATAGTGTATTTTTTGTGTTGTTGTTGTTGTTGGCTGTGTGTCTATTTGTTGTTGATGTAGTTTTTCCAACCCTTTGGCTCATTTCAATTTATTTATATTCAAAATTTCATTTCGTTTTTGTTGTTTTTGCCGTTATTGTATTTAAATAGCAATCAATTTATTTTTGGGAATATTTTTATTAAAAATTTTATTTGAAACATTTGTGTAGCGAGTTCTTAAAGTAAATTTCTTTATTTTTTTGTATAAAAATTAATATTTCTCATATTGTAAATTTTA